ACATACTTACTCAATAAGTCATAACCGAAACCGTTTTACTTTGGTTTTCGCTTTACAAACTAGATCGTATCTTAACGTACGTTCGTAGTTCTAAAAGCTACTGGGGGCTATGTAGAAATACGGCCTCCGGTCAGTCTAAAATATCAAGATCAATTGAGATAATACATTGGTTTTTATTTGTATTTTAAATAATTTAATACAAGCTCTTTTTCCAATATTTCCAAAGTGTTCTAAATTCACTTTGATGGCTCCAATAGCCCTACTTGGACCTATTTGAGACATTAGTAGATGTAGGATATTATAAACTATATCCTACAATCTCCGAACTACTACTTATAGGTAGCGGAGTCAGCTTGTGGACACGAGGTGGCCGTATGTTGTTCATCGTCTCCCATTCTTCGACGTAGAGACAAAGATCTTGGATTGTAATAGCGCGACGTGACGTTGTGGATCGGCCAAGTAGATATCCTTTTGTCTGTTCCTGGTAGGAGTCAAGAAGACCGGATAGAAATAAATCTCGAATATAATCTGATGAGAAGATTGTACCTTGTTCTTTTGCGTTGCTAATGAGAGTTTCGCGGCAAAAAGCCCATTCACGTAGGGCCTCGCTGTCTTTACGGCGGAAGCGGCGAAGAGCCATGGATAATATGTTTGCAATCCTTAGCTGAGTAATGCTTGAAACGGCGAATCAATGTGTTAAGGAGGAGACAGGGGTGTCCAAGAGATCAATCGAGAGGAAAATAAGAATTATCTGTTGGGCACGCTGGTAGGCGCCGGTTTCCTTCTGGCAGGCAGCAAATTGGGCAGCCGCCATGTCGGTGGCATTGCGGGAGTCGTAATCGAAGAGCGGACGAAGGTCGGCGGTATACTCAGTAGCAGTAGAAAGATATAAGTCGGTCTTCCAGGTGTCATAATGTGCCTCAGATAGGTCAAGAATAGTCCAAGTTCATTTTGACGATGACTCATCATTAGTGGCAAGCATCATAGGCTTGGCAGGGTTGGTGATGACAGGGTTGTGGGTCAGAGAGTAGGCTTCGGAGCGGTGGGTAGGGCACACGCCTCGTGTTTTTGGGCCGGTGGTGGGAGTGGTAGCCGTCGTTGGGTATGGGTAGGAGTGGGGCTTCAGCTTCAATCTGTAGGACAGAGTCGTCGTCCGGGATATTATCGCCCATATGTAACCTATTGGAAAGCACGAACTTCTGAACAGAATTGGTTAAAGTTTATTATCGAATGTTATGGAATATTTGTACTAGAATAAACTGTGGTAAAATTGTGGGAAACATTATTCCAGCATGAGAAAATTGATGGAGCGTGGGTCAGGGTAAAAACCTGGTTTGGGTTTAAACCGAGAGGGAAATTTAAAATGGTCCCGAAAGAGATATTACTCAAAAAAACACATCTGATGTGATATTTTGAGTTGTATCGCCAAGAAATTCATACAACACTGATCACTGATGTGTTTTGTTGAGTATTTTATTGGGACCTAGAAACTTCTAAACAGAATAGGTTATCATTTATTGAGCATATTGGTTCATATTTGTGCTATCAATAAAATGGGTGAATATTGTGGTTTAGCTATTGGCCTCATGTTTTGTGGGACCACGGGCTAGGTCCCGAGGAAAACCAAGTTTGATTTATATTCTGAGGGAAGAGTTGAATCGTCCTGAGACCCCCAGAAACCGAAGTAGGATTTGTGTGTCAAACTGTGTTTAAGGAGAAGTATGACGAAGGAGTTTGTGCGTAAAATACTCATGCTTGGGTTTAGCGAGACATTTGGTTAAGCGGTCAGCAGGGCTAACATGTGTATTGATGTAACTGATAGTGATCATCCCTTGCATGGGGATGTAGAAACTCAAAACTGTTGACTTGTTGAGACTTCTTGCTCTTCTTTAGAACTCCGACAGAAAAAATACTACCAAGTACGGACCAATCAAATCAACTCCTTTCCATATCAGGATTGAGGATTCGCAACAGATTAATATTATTTGTTTTTTATTATAAAGTTTATTTGTTTTTTTATAAATATTGTAATATATACTAAAAAAACTCCCAAAAAATAAAATATTTGCAAAAAAAACTTGATATCATATTTATATTATTTTCTTCACAATATACGAATAAGTATAAACCAATCAGATTTGCGACAAGAACTTCAGTCACAGTTGAGAGTCGACTGTTGAGACTCTTCTTGAGTGTTCACTCACTTCTGACTTCACTTCACAATTCACTCACACAGTCACACTGTTAGTCTGTTACTATTTACATACGTAAGTTAGTGTTCACCTTCACTTCTTGACACTGCTCACTGCGAGTATGAGGAATTTCTTAGAATCTTTAATTCTTTAGTGGCAACTCGCGCGTCTGCCGGCCACACTGCTCTCTCTCTCTCTGAGAGAGGGGCAACTCTAAAGTCTAAACTCACAACTGGCGAGTTTGTAATAAATATTAAATTTGATCCCTCCAGTGATAAAAAAAAAAAGGAGGCTACATATGCTCCAGGGACGGCCTAATTTAGTATTGTTTTTAAAAAATACTCTCTGAATATACACATAAAATGACAAAAAGCTATTTTTCTAAAAACAAATATTTGACATTTTGTAGAAAAAACAAAAAACAAAAACAAAAATGAACATTGTGTAAATGTTTATTTAGAAGGATATGCCGCTATGGTGTAAAGCATCACGAGAATAAATGTGTATAGATACGCGTACGCACAACAGTGACAGTGCAATACACGTACACACAATTACGTACACAGAATCACACATTTATACCTATATCACCTAAAAAACAACAAAAATGGGAAAAGTTGCCATTGTAACGTACAGCATGTACGGTCACATCAACGCCATGGCCGAAGAAGAGAAAAAAGGCCTCGAAGAAGCCGGCTGTGAAGTCACCATTTTCCGAGTGCCCGAGACCCTACCCGAGGAAGTGTTAGCGAAGATGCACGCCCCCCCAAAGCCTGATTACCCAGTCGTCACGGCTGAGCAACTCGTCGACTTCGATGGTATCATGTTCGGCATCCCTACCCGATTTGGCATGGCTTGTGCGCAGATGAAGTCCTTCCTGGACTCGACGGGTGGCCTCTGGATCAAGCAAGCGTTGTCTGGAAAACCAGCTGCTATCTTCGTCAGTACGTCTACTCAGGGCGGCGGTCAGGAATCAACAGCACTCACGTGGGTGACGCAATTAACACACCACGGTATGGTCAAAGCTCTGTATTTTTTTCTCGGTATTAGGTGGCTTTATACTTTTATTGGCCGCTGAGTCGCTCTTACTTATGTACCCCTTCTTATCACGCTGAACTATTCAGGCGAGAGCCTTCCCAACTTTTGGCTCTTTGTAGTGTTGAAAATTGTCGATCCATGTTTCCAAATCGACGAACTATTTGAGTCTTTTAGTAAACGATGATGATTTATTACTTGATGTATCCGATGTAACAGGTATGATCTTCTGTCCTCTGGGATATGGATCGCCCGGGACACAGTACAACATGGATGCAGTACAAGGCGGGTCCCCATGGGGTGCTGGTATGTCTGCGTATCTAATTGAGTCTTTATTTTGCGTTCTGAATATTCCCTGCTGATCGGTCATATGAAGTTGTGTTTCTAGGTATGTGTGCCTAGTACCTATTCTTGCCTGAAAGTGACCGGGCCTCCTTACAACTAGCCTCCGTGCTGAGGGTGTCCAATCGGTGCGCTGCGTATGACACATTCTTATCCGAACCATCTTTGTTTGTACGCGCAAATAGGTACTTTCGCTGGCCCTGACGGGTCACGAATGCCCAGTGATAACGAAAAGAAAACTGCAGCCACTCAGGGCAAGCTCTTCGGTGGCGTGGTGCAGAAATTGTCGTCATAAGGAAAATGTACTTCACTTTGAGATCGGTAACTTCTCATAAGTAGTTATACAGACAAGTACCGGTCGGCGGGAAACAATGCCGTGAGCGTCCGAGAAAATGTCTTGTAAAACTTTAGTATAGTATAGTCAGTTAACACTGGCTCTGCACTGGCACACCTACATACATGTATGAGAATCACAACGAAACCGTGTGCGTTCTGCAGTCAAGCGTACAAACAATTTGTAGTCACGTCGGCGGACATAATCAGAAGTCATGGATATTTCCTGATGTAATAAACAACAGAGCACCCCAACTCCACGGACATGATCAGATATTTTATGATGTGCTAGACAGCAGATCACGCTCCCATATCCTATGATATGAAGAGGGAAACGAATTCAGAATTGGATTACTACTATAGCATCAAACAACAAAATTTTCGAGTTGATATTTTATATACTCTCTCCTCCCTCTTCACTTTGTACAATCGGGTTAAGAAATATCGCCATAGAATCGGGTTAAGAAATAACGCCATAGGATCGGGTTAAACGAAGAGTGCGCCTGAATAATTCGAGCAAGCTTATTGGAAGCGGGCTCACCGCTGAAGTGCTCAAATTGTTGATTTATATTTATGGATTAAGAAGTACAACAACACGTTCGTGAGGGGTTGATCCTGCCAGGATTGGTTGGCGTTGTCAATACAACAATAACGCCTTGTAGTAATTTGTTCATGCATTCACTACCACATAGAACGCCAATGGTCGGAGCATCATAGGTTTATTTATATCTACATCATTGGTTTATTTATATCCACATCATTAATTTATATATATCTACATCACTAGTTAAGTCTATCGCTGTCCCATGAGTGCTTCTAATGCCGCGATTTCGTCGGCACTCAGATTGCCGGCCTGGCCTTGTTGCGCCTGCTCGTGACTCAACATCATCTGCTGCCGTTGCCATGACGACAGCTGCTGTTGCTGTTGCTGTTGCTGCTGTAGATAGCATGGGAGTGATCGCGCAAGCAATTTCAGTGGTCGTGTGTGTTTGTACAACAACACACACAAGCAAATACACACCAACAAACAACTAACCTTCAATACACACAAAGTACTGATATCAGCTGCAACCGCAGTGCCTGACAGAGCTAGCGACCGTCAATGTCAGTGCGTCTGCACTGCACCAGCTACAACTAACGTTAATTGTCTCTGGGCACAGATCCCGTCCCGTATAATACACTCACTAAACTTAAAACCTAGTTTTATGCATCATGCACCAAAAAGCATATACCAGTACACACCCTACAAACACAACCAACATACACCAGCATGTATCCTACCATACACACACATGTATCATACCTTACACACGCATGTATCCTACCATACACACGCATGTATCCTACCATACACACGCATGTATCCTACCATGCACACACTTGTATCATACCTTACACACGCATGTAACCTACCATACACACGCATGTATCATACCATACACACACATGTACCATACCATACACACACATGTAACCTACCATACACACGCATGTATCCTACCATACACACGCATGTATCCTACCATACTCACACATGTATCATACCTTACACACGCATGTATCCTACCATACACGCGCATATAACCTACCATACACACGCATGTATCCTATCATACACACACATGTATCATACCTTACACACGCATGTATCATACCATACACACGCATGATCATACCTTACACACGCATGTATCATACCATACACACGCATGATCATACCTTACACACGCATGTATCCTACCATACACACGCATGTATCATACCTTACACAGGCATGTATCCTACCATACACACGCATGTATCCTACCATACTCACACATGTATGCTACCATACTCAGACATGTATCATACCATACACACGCATGTATCCTACCATACTCACACATTTATCATACCTTACAAACGCATGTATCCTACCAAACACGCGCATACAACCTACCATACTCACACATGTATCATACCATACTCACTCATGTATCCTACCATACTCACACATGTATCCTACCATATTCACACATGTATCCTACCATACACACACATGTATCCTACCATACTCACACATGTATCCTACCATACTCACACACCCACACATGTATCATACCATACTCACTCATGTATCATACCATACTCACACATGTATCATACCATACACACGTTTGTATCCTACCATACTCACACATGTATCCTACCATATTCACACATGTATCATACCATACACACGTATGTATTCTACCATACTCACACATGTATCCTACCATACTCACACATGTATTCTACCATAATCACACATGTATAATACCATACACACACATGTATCCTATCATATTCACACATGTATCCTACCATACTCTCACATGTATCCTACCATACACACGCATATAGTCTCCGTGCACCCTACCATTCCCTGCTGCAGCTGCTGCAGTTGCTGGGCCTGTCGTAGTGCCAGTGCCTGGTTTTGCCGTTGTATCTGTGCTGCTTCTGCTTCTGCCTGTGCTTGGCGTCGTTGTGCATTTGCGGCGTTCTGTGCTGCTATCATCGCTGGATCATAGGACTGGCGCTGTTGCTGCTGCTGCTGGGCTAATTGCATGCCTTGCATCTGTGATTGTAAATAATAATAGTATCCATATATATATATAAATATATATATATATCCATATCCATATCCAAATATATATATATATATATAACAGCGAGACCCTCTCCTACTGCCGTTTGTGCTGTACCTGTGCTTCTATGTTAGTGTAGCCTAATGCCGAGTCCAAGTCCTGTGGCCCATGTTGCATCTCCCACTGCTGCTGCTGTCGGTGTTGTATTGACTGGCGCTGTTGCTGTTGTTGCTGTACACAAGGATATGCATAGGTGTGGCTGGGTGAGTGGTTGTTCATATGCTTTAAGAGGTGTTATACCCACTTAGACAGCCACCTAGAAGGACATGACATGCTTAAAGGGGTGTATGTCATACCTGCTTTATCAGTTGCATGGCATACAGTTGTTGTTGCTGCAGACGCCGTCGCTCCTCCATCCGCAATGACTCCTGGTGCTGTTGCTTGGCCTTCTCCTAAAAATATACCCGGTATATTTGGGTTGGTTTTTTTGTTTTTTGTTTTTTAAAATCGGGTTATTTAGGCTGGTCTATTCGATAGTCCTTGTCTGCGAGTGTGTGGTCTGCTTAGCCAAACTGAGCATGTTAATCCTAGTGTAGGTACGTAAGGGCTTGCATGTATGTGTGTATGTGAGGTTGCTAAGGGAGTTGCATGCGCTCACATGTGTGTTGACAAAGACACGCAGCGCTTCTATTGCAACTCCGATCTTTCCTGAAATTGATTACTAGTAGTGTAAGAAGTAGATAGAGAGAGTGTACGTGTGCGTGTGCTTGTTGGGTGATTTGATACTCCAGTGAGTGTGTATGTACTGAGTGTGTAGATGCGGAATTGATCCATTATATATCCGCAAACATAAACAGGCATAGACCTAGACAGTAGATACATACACACATACACACGCGCCGATAAAAAAATGAAGTACGCATATATATAAATATATAAATATATGAATG